CGCTCAATAGCAACAGAACTGTATCGATTTCTGTATAACGATTTCTATTTCAACGACAGATCTCTCCTCGTTAACTCGTTAGAGTTAGCACTTCGTTATATACATATATGGCTTTACAGTAGCCTGGTTTGAGTAATCCCACAACTATGTCTCGCGTCAGCTTGTACCGGAATGCGTCCGACGTTTAGTGTTGTACACGATATTACGGTGCATGTAACCTGCTGCTGAAAGTGTGGAAGCCAGTGAGCCGGTATGGCACGACGATTGACTTGTGCCATAGGTCCTGATATGACAGGACTCCGCTTGATCCAGGGAGGCACGTTTGTGATCCACAGCACTTTGGTGCATGGAAGCTTGTCCGGTCAATACAGGATTCTGCTTTGTACAGGGTCTGGCAAACACTCAGGTTTTACTATATCTGTATGGTGTTGATTGTGTGCAGGGCATTGCGATGGATGTGTCGCCAATTAAACCTAGCGTCTTGAAGAGCACCACTTTCGAAAGGTAAATTTGCAGCGCAAAGAACACCAGTAGATGACAAGGTTCTATGATTGTGGCAAGAAAATGAATTCTGGGAAAACCCCTGTGACTTGATGTGCGATGATCATACCGTCTACTTCTATTCCACAATTATTATCTCCATGCAGACTCCGTGCAGAATTTTCTCTTTAAAAAAATGTGTCTACAGTCGTGGCCAAAGAAATCCAACCCATTAGTCGAAATTCGAAAGCAGCGCCAGGGCTTATGCAACCCCCGCAGCCCTGGGATGGGTTTTTGGACCGTGCATGATGCATTGCATTTCTAACGGAACGGCGTCTCTACTTTTGACTCACGGGTCTGATTTCTTTGGCCACGTCTGTACATCTGCATGTAACGTTATTTGGTTGGAGCATTGACAACATTCATAGCACCAGTACGTGCAGTGGGCACCTGTGCACCGTGGAGATTGGTTACCCGTCAAATATGGTACATTCCCCAGATATACTCCATCAAATATGGTACCTTTCCCAGATATATTCCGTCACACATATGCTATATTTTCCCAATGTACACTCAGTCAAATATGGTACATTTCCCAGATGCACTCTGTCAAATATGGTACATTTCCCAGATGCAGTACTCTGTCAAATATGGTACATTTCCCAGATGTGCTCCGTCAAATATGCTACATTTCCCAGATGTGCTCCGTCAAATATGCTACATTTTCCCATTATACACTCAGTCAAATATGGTACATTTCCCAGATATACTCCTTCAAATATGGTACATTTTCCCCGATGTGCACTCAGTCAAATAAAATTATAGTATATTTCCCCGATACACTCAGTCAAATATGACATTTCCCCGATACGAATATGGTACGTTTCCCCGATACAGTCAGTCAAATATGGTACATTTCCCCGATACGAATATGGTACGTTTCCCCGATACAGTAGGTCAAATATGGTACATTTCTCCGATACACTTACTAGTAGTCGAATATGGTACTTTCCCCGATACACTCAGTCAAATATGGTATAATTATGTCTCTGATGTGACTGTATGCAGGCCAGGAGACTACGCGATACGAGAAGATGGCGGCGTTCCCGTTTGGATGCTCGTCGAGAATATTAGTGTAAGTGTCGCCGTTAGTCGTGTGTGTGTGTGTGTGTGTGTGTGTGTGTGTGTCGTCATCCCAGCGTCTTCGTTCTGTTTTTATTTTTTCGTCGAGCAACACCAAACCTTGCTCTCTTGCCTGTTCTCAGGCGAGCACGCGTTATTGTTTGTTTTGTGCGTTGGTTGTTTTCTGTTTAGGATGTGCGTGAGTTTGGTGCCATGATACGGGGATGTCAGTTTCTGGGAGTAGATCGTCTCATTGTACCTCAGATGGAGCCGGAACAGTAAGTCCACTTATAGACCGTTTGGAAATTTAATTCTACTGCTTGCTGAGCTTGTGACCGCTGGGTGTTTCTGATGCTTCTCACTGTTGTACTCATGATTGTGTGTGTGTGTGTGTGTTTGTGTGTATGTGTGCGCGCGTGTGTGTGTGCGTGTGTGTGTACGTGTGTGTGTGTGTTTGTGTGTGTGTGTGTTTGTGTCTGTCTGTCTGTCTCTCTCTCTGTCTCTCTCTGTGTGTGTATGTGCATGTACGTGTATACATGTGTACGTGTGTGTATGTGTATGTGCACACGCCCACACGTATACTGCACAGGTTTGCCACACTAACCAGTGGTATAGCCAGTAAAGCTAGCTCCGGTGCTCTGGAGTTGATTGAGATGTGGCAACTATCTACGCAGTACCCTCTGATCTCCTTTCTCAAGGTAAGCGTCTGCAAGTGGGTGTGTGCCAACCTGTCGGAAGGCTACCTTCTTGCCAAAGCATTTGGAATTTGGGCTAGTTTCGGCTCCACAATCCAGTGCGTCGTTGCTATAATAGCTTTCATGGCTGATGTTGTTGGTATGTCTGTTGGCTCTGGGTTCCCAGTACTCAGTAGCCGAGGCTGGTTGGTAACGTAACTCCCAATTTCACTTCAAGGTACCAGTGCATCTTGTGTCAGGACAACTAGTGACGAGTCGCACATAGAGTGAGAAAAAACTCACTCGTGGCCACAGTGACCGTGTGCATGCGCTGCACGCAGTGACTTCCCGCTGCGCTACGTAACGTAGTGTGTGCACTGCTTCTGCGCTGTGGGCATGTGTGAGTAGGTGCAAGGCTTGCACTCATCATTTCTCTCCTCACGTCGCAACGTGAGATTTCAACACGACAGAGGGCCAGCTGACGGTGAAAAAAAAAACGATTCAACGCACGTTTTCCTCGCGTTCGAAGTTCTAATCTCGAAATTTTCGCCCTTGGGTCTTCATGATTAATTGTCTGCAGTGGAGACTCTGAGTGTTGAATAAAATACAGGTACTCATGTGTTCATAAGTAGAGTCGTCACCTTGCCAGTCAAGTGTTCCCCCTACAGCCAGCAGTGGTGTGGATGCCACTGGCAGAGACTGAGCTGCAAGGTACTAGTGGTGGCGTTAAAACATGCTGGGTGACACGTTTGGTGCTTGTCACTCTGCTGCTAAAACCAGCACCTACTTTGTGAAGTATGTTGTTAGTACTGGGCAAGCGGGGATAGTTATGTTGTTTGTTATTCCTGTCTGCTGGTTCAGTGTATTCTGAGTGTTGCTGCTCTTCTTGACTCTCTGTCTATCTGCCTCTGTGTCTTCCAAACTCTGTGCGTGTGTGTGTGTCTCTCTCTGTCTCTCTCTGTCTCTCTCTCTCTCTCTCTCTCTCTCTCTCTCTCTCTCTCTCTCTTCTCTCTCTCTCTCTCTCTCTCTCTCTCTCTCTCTCTCTCTCTCTCTCTCTCTCTCTCTCTCTCTCTCTCTCTCTCTTCTCTCTCTGTCTCTCTCTGTCTCTCTCTGTCTCTCTCTCTGTCTCTCTCTGTCTCTCTCTCTCTGTTCTTCTCTCTGTCTCTCTCTCTTCTCTCTCTCTTCTCTCTCTCTGTCTCTCTCTCTCTCTCTCTCTCTCTCTCTCTCTCTCTCTCTCTCTCTCTCTCTCTCTCTCCTCTCTCTCTCTCTCTCTCTCTCTCTCTCTCTCTCTCTCTCTCTCTCTCTCTCTCTCTCTCTCTCTCTCTCTCTCTCTCTCTCTCTCTCTCTCTCTCTCTCTCTCTCTCTCTCTCTCTCTCTCTCTCTCTCTCTCTCTCTCTCTCTCTCTCTCTCTCTCTCTCTCTCTCTCTCTCGTGTGTGTGTGTGTGTGTGTGTGTCTCTCTCTCTCTCTCTCTCTCTCTCTCTCTCTCTCTCTCTCTCTCTCTCTCTCTCTGTCTCTCTGTCTCTCTCTGTCCTCTCTCTCTCTCTCTCTCTCTCTCTCTCTCTCTCTCTCTCTCTCTCTCTCTCTCTCTCTCTCTCTCCTCTCTCTCTCTCTCTCTCTCTCTGTGTGTGTGTGTGTGTCTCTCTCTCTCTCTCTCTCCTCTCTCTCTCTCTCTCTCTCTTCTCTCTCTCTCTCTCTCTCTCTCTCTCTCTCTCTCTCTCTCTCTCTCTCCGTGTCTGTTCGTCTGTCTGCCTCAGGATGCCTCAGAGCACTTCAACGTGGTATACACGACGGAGGAAGACAAGGACTTCACTCCCTTGTCAGAGGCCGCAGTCACTAAGAAGCGGCCATTGCTATTCGTAGTGCAAGGTGAGTTGGGCAGATCGACCAGATTTCGAAGAGTTGTTACTTATACATGTCAACATCTGTGACTGAATCTGCACACAATACTAGAGAGGTGCCGCACCAGTGCAGTGGTGAACCACTCTCATGCAATGTTTTGAAATTGTGTCGCAACTTGTAAGTGTAGCCAGGACTGACTTATAACGGGGACCGTATGATAAACATGGTTGTAATCGACTGGATCTCGCTATTCCTAGTCGCGTGTGTGCCGGCGTCTATACACTTCTGACGCGTTATGACAGGACTACGTAACATTCCCTCTGGAAACAAGGCTGTTCCTAACCACTGCGTCCAGTGCTGCGCCTGTGTTTTCGTTCTTCCCAGAACTGAACCCTCTTGCTGTATCCGGTGGCTCTGAGCGCATTGGTGTAGAGTTGGGACGCGTCTGGAACTGTGTGTACTTTTCGGGTGGTGGACCAACCTACTTGCTTATTTCAGCAGTTCAGCATTGTTATCTTACTACTTATGACAATTCAATGCCGTGGCCTCTACAGGGATCAGAGCGTCTACAGGGATAGGGACATCTGGAGGGATCAGAACGTCTATAGGGATTAGAACGTCTACAGAGTATAGGGATCAGTACCTCAACAGGCAACTAGTGAGCTTTCTCTGTAGGCAGAAGCCTTCGATTGGATCAGCAAGCAACAAGCTTTCCTCACGACCTTATTGGCTATCGTTTTTCTGACTACTGCAGTCCACTAGAAGTCAGATCATCGAAAGTTTCCTTTGAGAACGGGTTGAAAAAGCATGAAGTAAAAACCAAAGCTACTATCACTATCACTGGTAAGTTAGTTGTAAATCTACCACAGTACCAGTGAGTTACATAGTCATTGTGATAGATCCTCTTAGTGTGAGTGATAAAACCTCCTCGTCCAGTAGCTAAGACCTTTATTGCTGAACTCACAAGTTGTGATACAAACGATACATTACGTGTAGCTATCCACAATCCTGCTACATACTGGACCTGGTAGACCTGCCAAGTAGGCATTGTCATCATCGTTGTTTATTATCATCTACTAACCTACAAGTACTTGTGTATACGGAGCTGTCCCAACACGTCCACTCGCTTCGGCTCACTGATTGACCGCCAGATTCTGCGTTCGTGCGTGGGGCCATCTGCAAACTTTGAAGCTCTCCTTCTTTCCACAGCTGACTGAAGAAACAGCCAATACCTCCAACACCACTAAGACTACGTTTACACATAGCGTTCGAAAGTAGCTACCCGGAGAAGTGACATCCTTTTTGTGCGTTTACATGGTTGGCTGGAAATGTTTTCAGGTGTTTACACTAGCCGGGGGCCAGCCGTGCTTCCCGTCCAAAACGGAGCATTTGATGACCCGTATTTCTTTGTTTCTGCACCACCGCGCGATGGATTGGGAGGAGCAACCGCTTTGGACATTTCCAAGGTATAATGCAAAACCTCTGACTCTTGCAGCTCCGGCTAGCCTGTCTGTTGGCTTGGGTTTGTCTTCGTAATAAGATGTGAGGGTGGTGGCGACTGGACCATAACCGTTGCACGCTGTGTTAGAACTTTTGCGAGCATGCCGAGGTCCTGGCATGCTGGCCGCGGTACTGTACGACATGGTTGTTGGTGTGTTAGATACGGTGGGCGTACTCGTAGGGTCCTCTCTAGAGGCGTGTGCGTCATGTGTACGCATGCTCTCGGCTGGAGCTGTAGAGGTAGGGCTAGGGACCATGTGGGATTTGTCAAGATTGCTCCCTTCCTGATACACACTTTGCATACAACGATTGCTGCAGTCCCTCAACCGTACAACTTCTGCCTGAAGGGTCTTCACTTGAATCTCTAGATCAGAAATGGCTGACAATTTCTTCGACAAACATTGTATCTCGAACATAATTTTACCCAACTCCGAGCTTGCCGGAGATGAACTGGTGGACTGACCTGATAGATATGCATCACCGACACCATTTCCTCTCAGCAATGCCACCAGCTGGGGGCGTTTCAACCCGCTGTACCCTGATATGCCGTTCGTTTTCGCCAGTTCCTTTAGCTCCTCCACGGAAAGCACCGGCAAGTCAACCGTTGCTGCGGAAGACCGGTCCACCTGATCGGACTCCATGGTAGCCCGGTCACAACGAGTACTATAGCTGCCGACTTCGTCCCGGTTACCTACACAATTCCTGACGGAAAGTGGTTTGGTACGAGTGTTCAAAACCATTTGAATTTCATAATGCACGCCTTTTTTTGCCATGCTTTGCATAGTCCTTTAGAAAAATTGCTCTGCGCCTATCATCAGGGGGCAGGTGTCATGGAACAGCATGTTACTATCGCTGACAGCCAGGGCGCCGTGGTTGAACTTGGAGAAACAAGTAAAAAAAACGGAACTACAAACCAAGAAATGAAAAACCTCAAAAAGGCCCATCAGGCAGTGTTCTTGGAGCTTCCGATTTATTTTATTGAATATGTTTCGCGCCATGTGGTTTGTCATGGCAAGAGTAAGGAATCTCCGTTTTCGTCCGTTTACACGACGAAAGTATCCGGGTAACTTTAGAACAGTCTCCACCTTTGAGAGCGGTTTCAAAAACCTCCGGACACATCTCCGGATAGCGGCATCGTCGTGTGAATGCGAAGCCTAGCCGCATACTTTTTCTCCGGGTACTTTGAAAACACTGTTGTGTGAATGTAGCCTAAAACAGGCTGAAAGGAGCAACGGGAAAGCAGGCGACAACGTTGCTAAATACATTTTTCTATTTTAATATGCTGCTGCTGTGTGTGTGTGTGTGTCTGCGTGTGTGTGCGTGTGTGTGCGTGTGTGTGCATGTGTGTGTGTGTTTGTGCATATGTATATTGGTTTTTCTTGCAGATGGAGTATCTGTACCGAGCACGCTAGCCGAATGTGATTACTGTGTTGGTTTACCCGTCCGACATAGAGCGCTTGCCAACAAGGGACCGTTGTCCTTCAGTGAGGTGGAGAATGTCAAACTTCCACTTGTCGCTAAAATCGGTATGTTACAACTTACAAGTGATGAGTGTGTTTGTGTATGTGTGGACATGTGTTTATGTATGTGTGGGCATGTGTTTGTGTATGTGTGGACATGTGTTTATGTATGTGTGGGCATGTGTTTGTGTATGTGTGGACATGTGTTTATGTATGTGTGGGCATGTGTTTGTGTATGTGTGAGCATGTGTTTATGTATGTGTGGGCATATGTTTACGTGTGTGTGGGCATGTGTTTATGTATGTGTGGGCATGTGCTACTGGCAGATACCAAGAGTACATAACCCCAAGAGTGTGCAACTGCCTGCACAACCTCTATGCTGTGCTGGGACAGCAGGACTTCACATCACGTGACATGGTTCAAAAGGTTATGCTGGCAAACAGTGTAAAGTGACCACAAGAGAGTTGTACCCAAAGCTGCGCTGCGTACAACCCTGTATCTATCATGCACAGTAGTGCTGACCCGAATTTGCTAGCAAATCTTCTAGCAAAATATCGAAGAATTTTGAAAGGGAATTTGCTGGCAAAATGGAGCAAAATATCGGTGTGTTGGCTGGGAATTGGGAGATTTTACACATATACGGTGCACATGACTCATTTCGGCACAATTTTACCAACACGTGACTCACTTTTTCTCATTTTTGCCAACACGTAACCCACTTTCGGTCAGTTTTCTCACACGTGACACAAATTTTGGAGCAAAAAGGGAGCAAAATATCGAGTGGCCTAGCAAAATGAAAGCAAAATTTCGACGATGCACGAGCAAAATTATGCCGCAAAATATCGAGATTCAGCTGGCAAATTCGGGTCAGCACTAATGCACAGAGTGCAAATAATGTGTACGGGTTCATCACGTGATGTGAAGTTCTGCCGTCGCAGACCCCATAGCTGGAGTTGCACACTCTTGGGGATTATGTACTCTTGCTGATACATGTACAGTCATGGCAAGTGAAATCCGACACTTGGCATAAGGGACTACACCACGTACCATGCAGTGTGCAGCCCCTGCAGCCCTGCATACGTTGTACATGCGTTACATACAACTTTTATCTGTCTCATGACAGCAAGAGTACATAACCCCCCAGAGTGTGCAACGCCGATCCAGCTTTGCATAGGGTCTTGGTCGAGCGGAATCGGATCTTCTGATGTCATGCGTACACTCCACACCAGTGCAAGGCCGGTCTCGAGGCAGGGCACCATTGTTTTTGATCCAAGAGTACCCGCGACTCCCCGGGTTCCCCTCAGATTTGTACGGTATTATGATGCAAAGATCCGATTCCGCTCGACCAAGACCCTATGCAGAGCTGGATCAGGCGTTGCACACTCTGGGAGGTTATGTACTCTTGATGACAGTAATCGTACTCATCACAGTCAAAAATGAATGGGGCCAGCCAGGGGACTGTATAGCAATACTCCTTATGTGTACATGTAGCATGACTGTGAACTGTGTGTACGTATCTACTCTGTGACCTTTCGACCTGTTTGGGATGCATACAGCTCTATTGTACAGATTTGGTACAGTGCAGTACATCCTTGATGTCTATTTGTGGCGCTGTCCCCCATGGCAAGTGTCGGATTTCACTTGCCACGACTGTAGATGCTACCAAGAGGGGGTTATGTACTCTTGATGCTACCGACCGTTTCCCACGTCAGGCCCGGCGGAACCGGTCCGGTTGGTCAGGCCATGGCCGGACCAACTTTTTAGTCACCAACGTGTGTTTACTGCTGAGGAGGTCATGTGTATACCCTCCATATCATACACAAACTGTATGAAAGTCATGTGTATACCCTCCATATCATACACAAACTGTATGAAAGTCATGTGTATACCCTCCATATCATACACAAACTGTATGAAAGTCATGTGTATACCCTCCATATCATACACAAACTGTATGAAAGTCATGTGTATACCCTCCATATCATACACAAACTGTATGAAAGTCATGTGTATACCCTCCATATCATACACAAACTGTATGAAAGTCATGTGTATACCCTCCATATCATACACAAACTGTATGAAAGTCATGTGTATACCCTCCATATCATACACAAACTGTATGAAAGTCATGTGTATACCCTCCATATCATACACAAACTGTATGAAAGTCATGTGTATACCCTCCATATCATACACAAACTGTATGAAAGTCATGTGTATACCCTCTATATCATACACAAACTGTATGAAAGTCATGTGTATACCCGCCATATCATACGCAATGCATGAAAGACAAGCTTATGGCCGGACCAATCACAAACTGCTTCCGCCGGTCCTGCACGTAGTATGTTAGGTTGACCATGGGAAGACAGAGGTAACAATTTGTGTGTGTGTGGGTGTGGGGGTGCATGCGTGCGTGTGTGGTGTGTGTGTGTGGCGGGCGGGCGCGTGGGCGCGTGTGTGTTTTGTCTACTGCATTGCCGGCGGATGCACCCAGTGTGCCGAGAGTGCGTGCGTGCTGCCAAGGCAGAGCGAGAGTACTCAGTACATGTACATCATCGGGGCAAGGCTAGTGTGTTGCACCTCCTGAGTTTTGTCCTCTGTGCAATCGTATTGCTGATCATGTCGCTGATCGTATTGCTGATCATGTCGCTGATCGTATTGCTGATCATGTCGCTGATCGTATTGCCTGATTCTTGTCCTGAACATGAGACTCAGAACTCAGAGTTGCTATTTTGTACCAACTAGCCTTGTTCCACTGTTCTACTCTCTACTGCATTATATGCACGGAACAATTTGAACTCGGATGGTGAGCCAATGTAATTATGATAAAAAAAGGAGAAGGACAATTTGTCATAACTCGTAACATTTTGTCCTTTTCCTTTTTTTTAACAATTTGAATATGTGAATACGGGAAATGGGCCGTGGATGGGTTAAACCAAGAGTACATAACCCCCCAGAGTGTGCAACGCCGATCCAGCTGTGTAGGGTCTTGGTCGAGCGGAATCGGATCTTCTGATGTCATGCGTACACTTCACACCAGCGCAAGGCCGGTCTCGAGGCAGGGCACCATTGTTTTTGATCCAAGAGTACCCGCGACTCCCCGGGTTCCCCTCAGATGTGTACGGTATTATGACGCAAAGATCCGATTCCGCTCGACCAAGACCCTATGCAGAGCTGGATCAGGCGTTGCACACTCTGGGGGTTATGTACTCTTGGTTAAACCTCTCAGTTAGAGGGAAAGCATTGACTGTGTGCAGTTGTCACTGAGATATGCTTCTTATATTTTTGTTGTTTTCTTCTTCTTCTTCTGTTTCCCCTCAGCCACCATCTTGCAGCACTTCATCAGCCACACTCACCGTGCCCCAGCGTAGTAGCAGCAGCATGTGTCTGATTGCAACCTGGAGATACGTAGTGCTATGCTGTGGTATGAATGGGATGTGCTCGTGTACGGTGTGGCTGCCAGCAACCCTACACTACAGTGACTTGTCATGCAGCTATGCCTGTGTTTGCTGTGTGCTGTGAGGCATGATGATGCAAGTACAGCACTTGCAGCAGAGCCAGCGGGCTTTCCCTGGTGAACTGCTGAGGCATGATGCAAGTACAGCACTTGCAGCAGCAGCAGCAGAAGCCGGCGGCCTTCCCCAATCCCTGGTGAACTGCCATCTCAGCCAACATGGCACAAGAGCCTGTGATCAGGTCACTAAGGGAGTATACCGGTATGCCGCATCACATATCACCGCTGGTCACTGGTCCTCTCATGTCGACAGTATGCTGTTGGGGACATTGGGCAGCGATGGTGATGGTGCTATGTGTAGCGTGTGCTATCCTGCCCATCGTAGCGCCTCACGGGGTAACCAAGACGCGCAGGCGCAGTGCATTGCATGCACTGCAACAAGCGAATGTACATAGCGTGTGAACGTACACTGCATAGTGTGTGGTTGTATGTGCTGCACGCATGCAGTGCATGTGTAATGCGCTAGGCATGCAGCTGCGTGCGTATGGCCGTAACCCAAGGCTATACCAATGCCGCATAGCCATCGGGAAGAGTACTTCTCACTCAGCGCCCTTCTTCTGCCTGATAACGTGGACTTGTTTTGTCCATCAACTGGCTGCCTGCTGCAGTGCTCCCCCCAGAAACCCTGTACAATGTACATGCAACACAGCACCAAGGCCGAGAACACAGGCGATACATGCATGCATGCCCATTCATGTTCACCAGGATGATCTGCAATCAAGTCTTTGCATTATCAGTGTGACATACTACCGGGCGACCGCTTTCGGAGCCATGAGAGAACGGGAGTTGCAGGATATTTATGTGTTTGAAATATTTGATACAGAACTCTAGTCTGAATCGAATCTCATGAAAACAAGATTTGTCCTGTGCGTTTTTGAATTGTCACCTGCTTCTCGGTGAACTGTTGTCGCCAGTTGCGAAGCCTGCCTGGCGGACCAAGCCGCTTACTAGATATTTCACAATGTTTACATTTCTCCCCTGCCCTCCATTGTTTCGTCCATGGTCGTAGCTGCGACTTCTAATATTCATGACTGCATGTGCCGCTGTTCCAATAGCACCAGCATTAGAGAAAGAGAGTTTGCTTCCGAAAGGACCTTTCTCTTCTCTTCATTTAGATAACTATTGATCAAGAGCTGGCATCCGACATTGCCCCCTGGGGGCCCCCAGCAGAGCGGAATAAGAGATGCTGCTGCTGTTGCGGCATATAGCTAGGGACGTAGAAGACTGCGATGGGGGTGATCTATCTGTCTATCTGTGTTGGATGATATTGCTGCAAGTACCACAGTCGGTACTGTGTTGTACATTGCAGTGCATGCCTAACAACACACAAGCCTGGTGGTGACATCACAGCAGATCGGGGGCTGACACACTAGTAACACAGCATAGAAAATTGTCCAAAATTTCAAGGTAGCACCTCAACTGGTTAGTGGTTATGCAAGGTACATCATCAGCATTAAGATAATATAGTTCTGCAGTTCTCCAATATAGCATGTGACAGTGGTGCATGCACACCAGGATGGCTGCTACAACTGCACATCTAGACTAGGAGTGCAGACTAGGAGTGTAGACTAGGAGTGTAGACTAGGAGTGCATGACTGACATTGACACACAGCAGTATAGCAGTGGCTTGAAGGCAGCAGGTGCAGAGAGGTGCATTATTCACAGCTGCTGCCAAGCGCAATGAGCCCCCAGTCATCGTCCAAGCCTGTAGATCGCGCGCACGCCATCTCTGCTCCCTTGACAGGCCTTGCTAGACAGTGTGGCTAAGCATTTCTATGCTAACGTCGCAGTGCTTTACTGTTGCTCTGCCTCTGGCCATTGAACTAGTGATCTAGATCGTCTCATTGGACACTGTGGAGGCAAACGGCCTCGGTGTAAAGTGTGTGCATGTGGCAGCAAGGCAATGATGGCGATGCGTTTGAGCACAGGCATGCTGATAGGCGGTGTTCACAAGCGAGCATGTACACACCGCTTGCAACTAGACGAACTGTGTATCATCAAGACTGCTGGCCTGCGCTGGTTAGAAACACACAGGGCGCAGAGCTTGGTTGGATGTGCACCTGTTCGAACTCCCTCGCGCGCGCGCGCGCGCGCGCACACACACACACACACACACACACACACACACACACACACACACACACACACACAGGCACACACACACACACACACAGGCACACACACACACACACACACACACACACACACACACACACACACACACACACACACACACACACACACACAGTCAGCCCAGAATTGGGACAGTGACTGAATCGTGTGCACTCCCACAGTCAACCCAGAATTGGGACAGTGACTGAATCGTGTGCACTCCCTCACACATAGTATTGAGAAAGTGGCCTAAACCATCGCGGTGGCTCGCGTGCGGGCGGATGACATCGGCACCTACCACGCACGCTGACATTGACTTGCCTGCACGCACACGTCCACCCACATCGCCATGACAATACACGAGCAGGCCTATTGACGACGGTGGCGACAGCAATGCAGAGCTGAGAGCTGAGGCAGATATACTGGTACATGTGGGTAGAGTGCACACATGAAAGCCGTACGTTCAAGGGCTGGCATGACGACCAGACTAGTGTAGTGCTGTGTCTCACTGCACAAGGTACTCTAGTAGTACTGGTGCGTAGGACCTTTGGGTACACACGCACACACATGATGCCGTTCATTGGTGGATGGTAACACACAGTGCGGGCAAGTGAATTCAGCCAGGAGAAATTACCAGTCCCGGAACTGCACAAGCCAGGCACTGTGAACAGTGGACTGTGCAGTGAACATTGCGTCTCCTCTACGCATGGCGCTGGATTTCATGTGCCACAACCGTACGGTGGATAGGTTGGCAGTACACTGAGCAAAGTGTTACCATCCAAGCCAGTTCTTGATGCCGGTTAGAACTCCCGGCGGTGGCGATGGTGACGATGATGAAGAGGACGATTGCTGCTGGTTAGAGTCCGCGCAGGAGCTGCTACTACTGCTACTGCCACTGTGTGCATTGGTGGGCGTGTCCACGCTGCTGTCGTAAGCGGCCGTGTGCTTATCAACACTACTGCCAATACTACTACTGCTGGTGCTGGTGCTGGTGGTGGCGTTGCTGCGTGCATTGCTGTCTCTAGCAGTGACGGGTAGGTCAATACTACTGTTGCTACCACTACCAGCAGCACCACCACGTCGTTCTTGTGTTGCCAGCCTTGCCTGCTGTGCTCGGAGCAATGCCTGCTGGTATGGTGTCAGTCCCTGTTTGCTAACGGCCGCCGTGCTGTCTGCTGTGTTCGACTTGGCTGCAGAGACTTTAACAGCGACAGGGGCAGGTGCGGACTGCGAATGCTGCTGCTGCTGGTGTTGTTGTTGTTGTTGTTGTGGTGGTGGTGATGATGCAGGTGGAGAAAGCTCTGGTTGCCGTTGCTGTGGCGAGGGAGGGCGCTGGTTTGTCTGCCGATGCTGGGGCGGTTGCTGGGGTGGTTGCCGGGGCGGTGGTGGCACCAGCGGTGGTCGTGCAACTGCAGGCGTAGCAGGCACATCACCTGGTACATTGGACGCCAGTGTATCCGCTGCAAATTTGCTGGCCGCCAGCGTATCCGCTGCTAGCTTGCCACCTGTGCTTGTGTGCGCCTGGAAATCGGGCACCTCACGCCCAGGTAATGCTCTACTGCCTGGAGCCAGTGAGCCCCGGGCAGCAGTAGCAGCAGCGTCCGCTACGATAGCTCCTGGCTGTTTCGATCCATCGGCAGCTGCACTATCACCGCTCAATGGCGGTGCTGAAGATGTGTTGGTGACACGGGGCGGCCGAGGCAGTGCCCCGGCACCAGGGCCAAACCCTGCACCGGCAAACACAGGTGGAGGTCGACTGGCTGCTACTGCTGTTCGTTTCTTTGGCCTAAGAGCTTTGGAAGGTAGCTTGCCAAGTCTCGCAGAGCTGCTGCCAATCTCTTCGTCTAACAGGGGATCTGTCATGGAGTCAAATTCAAAGTCTTCCATCTCAGTTAGTTCAGCCTCACCCAAACTGGACCGCTTCCGTTGCTGTCCACCATCCTGCTTCGCTTGCTGTACGTCCTGCTGCTTTGGTTGCTGAATGTCCTCCTGCTGCTTTGCTTGCTGTACACCGTCCTGCCGCTTTGCTTGCTGTTGTGGCATGGGCTCGTTGCTCCTCTTGGGCTTGGGCATCGGCGTCGTCGTCGTGCTGCCCACGGTGGGCAGCTTGTAGAGTTCGTCCAGAAATCCCAGCGTTGTGCCAGTGCCACCGCCACCCGGCTGCTTAAGAGTAGGCGAAGATTGGCGCGTCGCTGCGCGTTCACGGCTCAGCTTGCTGGCCATCTGTCCCAGCGACTCGGGCACACCGCTGCCAGATTCAGGCAACAGGAACGAGTCTACATCCGCGTCGACCTGCCGCATTTGTTGAACACGTTCTATACCGATGGCAGGTAGTTCTCCAGTAAATGCCCGCGTGGTGGCGTCAACAGCAGATAACGACTGCAGTGTGGGCGCGGAGCTCGGCGTCGACTCCAAGTCCAGCAGAGAATCTGAAAATGAACTGTGCCCGGTTGTTAGAGTTTCCGCACCAACTTCTGGTTTCGACGACGGGCGCTTTACAGTCGATGATGTGGACGAAGAGGAAGAAGACTCTGCACCCGCAGTAGACTTCACTGCTGGCACTGTGCTAGATTCAGAATCTTTTTCCGCTAACTCTTCATCTACACGGCCAGTGGGGGCGCTACCAGCACCGCTGCGTGCCTCGCCAATCCCTGTGGCAACGCCGTCGGGCACAACGGGATCAGACACCTCCATAGTGATACCAGCAGCTGAAGCAACAGGATCCGCAGAGCCGTCCTTCGGCTTGTCCGCTGTGGTAGTTGTAGGCACGTTTTTGTCCGCTTGTTTGCGTTTCTTGACACGACTAGACACCTCCACACTGCCACCAGCAGCTGAAGCAGCATGATCCGCAGCAGAGTCCTTCGGCTCATCCGCTGTGGTAGTTGTAGGCACGTTTTTGTCTGCTTGCTTGCTCTTCTTGACACGTTGTGGCGCGCTCGTGCTGTCAATAGCAGCCGAACCAGCAGTATCAGCAACAGCGTCCTTTGGTTTATCCACAGTAGTAGTAGCAGTTGTAGCCACCTTTTCTTTCGTCTGCTTGCTCTTCTTGACACGCTGAGGTGCATTCATGCTGTCACCAGTAGCTGCGGTAGCAGAATCAGCGGCAGAGTGCTCTGTTGTATCCGCTGCGGTGGTTGTAACCACATTCTCTTTCACCTGCTCGCTCTTTCCGACACGTTTACCAGGAACTGAACCAGCAGTATCAGCAACAGCATCCTTCTGTTTATCCACAGTAGGAGTTGTAACCACTTTTTCTTTCGTCTGCTTGCGCTTCTTGACACGCTGATGTGCATCCATGTTGTCACCAGTAGCTGACGTAGCAGTATCAACAACAGCATCCTTTGGTGTATCCGCTGTGGTAGCTGTAACCACATTTTCTTTCATCTGCTTGCGCTTCTTGACACGCTGAGGCGCATTCACGCTGTCACCAGCAGCTGAAGCAGCAGCATCAACAACAGCATCCTTTGGTTTATCTGCTGTGGTAGCTGTAACCACATTTTCGTCCGCCTGCTTGCTCTCTCTGACACGCCGTGACACATCCATACCAACAGCGTCCTTCGGTTTATCCGCTGTGGTGGTTGTAGCTGCACTTTCGGCCGTCTGCTTGCTCTCCCCGACACACTGAGACACATCCATGCTCTCACTAGCAGCAGCTGAAGCAGCTGGATCCGCAGCAGAGTCCTTCCGTTTATCCGCTTTGGTGGTTGTAGCTGCACTTTCATCCGTCTGCTTGCGCTCCCTGACATGCCCAGGTACATCCATGCTACTAGCAGCTGAGGCAGCCGTATCAGCGACAGCATTCTTCGTTGTATCCGCTGCAGGAGTTGTGATCACATCATCTTTCATCTGCTTGCGCTTCTTGACACGTTCACCAGCGGCTGAAGTAGCAGTATCCGCGACAGCATCCTTCGGTTTATCCGCCACGGTATTTAATACCACGTTTTCGTCCGCCTGCTTGCTCTCCCCAACACGGCTAGACACCTTCTTGCTCTCCCCAACACGGCTAGACACCTTCTTGCTCTCACTAGCAGCTTCAGCAGCCGGATCAGGAGAAGCGCCCTTCAGTTTATCCGCTGCGGCGGTTGCAGTCACGTCTCCGTCCACCTGCTTGCACTCCTTGACATGCCCAGGCACATCCACGCTGTCACCAGCAGCTAAGGCAGCAGAATCAACAACAGCATCCTTTGGTTTATCCGCTGTGGTAATTGAAGATACGTTTTCATCCGCCTGCTTGCTCTCTCCGACACGCTGAGACACATCCATGCTCTCACTAGCAGCAGCTGAAGCAGCTGGACCCGCAGCAGAGTCCTTCGGTTTATCCGATGTGGCAGTTGTAGGCACGTTTTCTTTCGTCTGCTTGCGCTCCCTGGCTGCCATGCCGATTGTATCTGAACGCTTGGCAAGCGGATCTGTCCAGCCGCTGGCAGAAGCTGCCGCCGCCGCCGTGGTGGTGGTGGTGGTGGTGGGGCTCTTGCTCGTCCAGAAAGCCGTGCGAGGTGGCGGCGACGGGGCTTTCTTGCCTTCCAAGCTCAGGATGGAGTCTAGTAGGCCAACGCCAGCAGCAGCTGGTGCCGGCGCTGCAGGTAGACGTGCAGCAGAGTGTGTGCTACCGGTATTGGTGCTGTGAGCAGCTGTAGAGGGACCTCTAGTGCCTGTGGCAGGACTTGGAGCAGTTGCAGGCGTGCCTACAAATGCCGGTCCCAGGCCAGACTTGCGCTGACCAGCAGTTGGGGCAGGACAGGATGACAATGACGGCGGAGTGGCAGCAACTGTTGCTGCCACACTGGCTGTGGCCGCCGCCGCAGATGATGGTGGTGTTGGGCGAGCAGCACTGCGCGATCCTCGCTGAAGACCAGGCATACGCGTGCGGGACTCCTCGCCGCTGGACTCTGTACGCATGACACCACCACCGCCGTCCATGCCGGTAACCCTGATCGCACCGGTCGCTTTGTTCACCGCTGGGACTCGCCTACGCACACCAGGCGTCGGTGGCTGCTCCTTCTGCTGCTGTCGCTGCTGCCGTTGCTGTTCTAGCCGCTGCCATTCTCGCAGCTGCTGCTGTGCAGTTGAGAAGGCTGCGGCACGGCTGGACGTGCCTGAATATGCGTTACCCTGCTGGTGTTGCTCACGCATGGATTCAATGTCTGTCGTCACGCCAACGGCGTCGGCTGTTTGCGGTAGCATGTCAGCTACCGTGGGGGATGTCGTTACTTTCGTTCGGGGTTGCACGCCATCCTTCGGCGTCATGGAGTGCCCCGGCGGTGGCGAAACGCTCAGCCCGCGGTGGTGGGGCATGCCGCCGCTGTCGCTGGCACTGCCGGCAATCGCGCTGCCACGCACCTGACCATTGTGATCGGCCGATGGGTCAGTAGTTGCTGATGCTGCTGCACAGCTAACACCGCTGCTTGTTGCCACTCCCGCTGTTGCCTTAGACCTATCGTCGACCACCGCCGGAGCTGCACCGTGATGATATGGAACGCGACGTGCGCTGGCAACGCTCGGGCGTGTGCCAGACACAGCTAGTGAGGGTATCGCTGATGATGATTTTAACACGGTCGGCAGTGACAGGATCGAATCTACGCCTGAAGGAGATCGTGTCCGCTGTTCGGCAGCGGCAGATGATAATGGTGAAGCTGCCTGCTGTGCACGCCGCAGTTCTCCATTGCCTGCAGACCTGCTGTTGGTTTCGCTGCGGCTGGACCTCGGCAGCGTTGTAGTTGTCACACCGGACATCGATAGCGGATCACGGTTGGCATGAGCTGAACGAGTTTCCTCTTCTGCACACGCGTACACACTGTCGTCGGGTTGCCAGAAAGCGCTGGGGAGAGGAGAGAAAGCAGCATGAGCAGGGCCGTTCAGCTGCTGCGTGGAATTCAGCTGATCAATGGCAGTGTGCCTTGAATGGAAATACTCAGGATAGTGAGGATGGCGATGCGATGCAGGCAGCTCGCCACCACCACCGTTGTCCCCTCCCGGCGCACATGCATTCTCATTGGTTACCTGCTTATCGGCAGGGGGATCGATACGGAATGGCGGCGAGCAGTCGACGGGTAGTTCACCGTCGGTGTAGACGGATGGAGCTTCCGCAGCTCCTTCGGAGTTTCCACAATCGTGTTGCATGATATCGGTTGCCGCTGATAGCGACTGCAACAGATCACTATCCGCGTTTCTGCTACGGAAATGCTCGGGATAGCCGTCTGGCATGCGGCCGTGGCGCGAGGTGTTGTTGTTGGTCGTCGCCGCCGACTTGTGTTTCTTAGGAACTGGAAAGGGGGAAAAGAGTGCTGCCTTGGCAGCTCGTGCTCGGAACGCATGCAGGGTGTGGCGCTTTCCCTGATGATGATGATCATCATCATCATCATGTTGCTGTTCCTGCTGCTTCTGTTGCCGCCCAGAGCCCACAGCGTCCAATGTGCCGCCCGCCAGCGCTCTCTTTAATTCCTTGTTAACAAGATTCTTCGTTTGCTCGGGCTCACTTCCCCGGAGAACTTTCAAAAGGCTCTGAATGGTGCTGGCTAATTCAGTTTCCTGCTGGGACTTGCTGGCGTCGGATAGGCTCATGCCTTCCAGGGCTTTCAGAGTCCGGAGGAACTGGCGATTAATCTGGTCATGCTGCTCCTGCACAGAATTCACAGTGCCTGGCGTGTTGGCAAGGTCGCGTACTCGGATGCGTGCTCTCCTGAGTTCCCGCGAGAGGAGTCTCGTTGCCAGCTTATTGTCGCTTCTGAAAAGGTCTCTTGAAAGACGCCTGAAGGTGTTACGTAACTCAAGCCAATCTGGCGTGTCAACCCTGGTCGTGTTGTCCATCCCGTCACCAGGCTGTGCCACCGCAGTGGCTGAATGGGCGTTAGCTACAGATACTGGACCAGCGCGGGCTTGGCTGCCTTCGCCACGACCACACTCGAGCACCAGGGACTCTGCAAGAAGATCATCGGCAGTTCCGAGTGTGGCCGGCGATGTTGCCACTGCTACTCCGACTGAACTCTGGTCTGCGTTGGCATCAGCTTGGTGTGTGATCTCACTGCCCCGCCGCTTGCTGTCCGTAACAGTGTCGTCTGCAGCACGCCACAGGTGATTGTCAGCATTTGTGACGTGTACCGATGCAGTTCTGATGATGTCATCACCTCTGCTGCAGCTGCTGCAGCCATCGTTGCCAACATCACTACCACTGCAACTGCTGATGTTTCTGCTGAGAATGCTGCTGGTCTTCTTGCTACTGCTGCTGCTGAGGTTCATGCCATTAGTGCAGTTACTACTGCCGGTAATAATCACGTTGCTGCTGCTGCTGCTAGCAATGTCACTGTTATGGCTATTGCTGCTGCTGGTGCCGTTGCTGCAGCCCACACTGTTGCCTGCACGTGATTCCTGCGGAGCAGTAGATGATAGTTGCGTACATGGATTCGTAGCAACATCACTGGACACCTGGTCAATAGACTGATTCTGCCGCTGCTGCCCTTCAACGGGTGTTGTTGCTTGTGACGCGCTCGTCTTCGTCAGATGATTGAGAAGAGTAGCTACAGAGAAAAGTCATGACCAGAGTGACACACACACACACACATGCACACACGCTCACACACACCACACACATACACACACACACACACGCATGCACACACACACACACACACACATACACACACACACACACACACACACACACACACACACACACACACACACACACATGCACACACACACACACTCATGCACACACGCACATGCACACATACATACACACACACACACACACACACACACACACACACACACACACACACACACACACATAACAGAATGTGTCAGCCCCTTGCAGTATCTCTCCCACAGTACAGTTGTGGCAGGCGAAATCCGACACTTAGGCGGACAGACAAACAGAGACAACTACAAAGGCGGACAGACAAACAGGTGGGTACAGCCATGGCCGGACCAGTTTGTCAAGATTCCAGCCCTCATGGAATGTCCAGTGTGCAAGTAACAGTGTAGTAGACGTATCAATATAGGCGATCTCTCTCATAAACTGCTATTCCTACTTGTATTCAGAGGGGATTACAGTAAAACCTGTCGAGGCGACCACTCGGATAAGGCGACCACCTGTCCTGAAAGACCACTGAAACCAGGACCAAGTGACCCTATTTCCAGTCAAATCGCCCTGGATAAGGCGATCACCTGGTAACAGAGACCACGTTTTCAAGGTCCCTTGAGCGGTGGTCGTCTTAGACAGGTTTTTACTGTACATGTAGTCCTTCACTAGCCTGACTGCTGCATGTCTCTTGCCAGCATACAGTTTGGCTAAAGAATAATCAGGCACGATTCATGGGGCTAGAGATGCAGTCCCCCAGTATGCTGGAATTGGCCTAGGGGGTAACTATTGACCCTGGAGCCGACCCGGGGCCGTACCAAAGCCTCAGGAGCCGGCTCAGGGCCTGGACAGAGAGATAGAGAGAGCAAACAAAAACTGTAAGGACGCATACGTACACTTCCACGCACACACACACACACACACACACACACACATGTGTGCACACGCATGTGCGCGCGCGCACACACACGCGCCCACACCCACCCACACTCACACATACGCACAAACATACACGCACACACACACGCACACACACACACAAACACACACAGATATCCCCCCCCCCCCCCACACACACACACTCACACACACCCTCCAAACACTCACACAGAATGACCAGCAGCAGTACAGCAGCAAAAGCTCACATGCAGAGTGGGTGGTGAGGCGGGCAGAACCCACTGGAGAGTCAGCCGCCGGGTGGACAGCCTTGCCAATGGTGACTGGGGTTGCTACAACAACACGCTGATGACATTGGTCCAGGATGGGACGACAGTTCTCCATGTTAGCATCACCTGTACAGAAAGATTAAAAAAATAAAAAATAAAAATAAACTCGAACGGTGAGCCAATTTAATTATGGTAAAAAAAGGAGAAGGACAAAATGTTACGAGTTATGACTAACTGTCCACCAACTGACTGTATATGATCTGGTTACGTTGGTGGGAGTTAGTCATAACTCGTAACATTTCGTCCTTCTCCTATTTTTACCAGACGTAAATAAATACCAGACATAGTACAGTACTGTCCGTCGCCGAAGAACTGGGGGGGGGGGGGGGGGGGGGTCAGCCTCCTTGCCGAGACCGATCTTATTTTTCATGCACTACAGTCCATGCACAGTTGAGTCACCGTGTATACATTGGTATGCCGGGCTTGGTGAAATTCCCGCCCGGTCGCTCTTCGGCGCTCCGTTCTTCGGCGCCCGGCAGTAATGTACCGCTCGTACACCCATTGGCCGTGTGAGTCAAGCTAGCGCTGTGAACTGGTGCAGCTATTGCCGTGCAAACACAGGACTGTGCACGGGTGCATGGCGCTGACTAACTACAGTCAGACCTCGCTTATCCGGATCCCTCGCCATCCGGAAGAAAACAGCTGGTTACAGATTTGCAGCATACGTGGTGCATCCAACATAACCGGTGTTCGGTTATCCGCTTCCCTCACCTGTCCAGGTATTATTCGTGGAAAACGGATGTGTGCGGTTAAGTGAGGTCTGACTGTAATGACATTGGCGGATACAGTCAACTTCGCGTATAACGACACTCGGAGGGGCATCAGAAAAGTGTCCTTATTCGCGAAGTGTCGTTATACCCGAAGTCCCATTATATGTATTCCAGTTGGATGTGACCTTGCTCTGGGCAAGGAAATTCTGTCGTTATTCGCGAATTGTCGTTATATCCGCAGTCGTTATTAGCGAAGTTGACTGTATCATCGATCATGACTGTACTGTCCACTCATGCAAAACTCAAACCCTAACTTGTTGCTATCCTGCATGCACACGTGTACAGTGGTAGATACGATGAAGACAGCAGTGCACACCATGCATTGTGGGACCCGTGGTAGATACGATGAACACAATACGGTAAAAGTCCGTAAATAAGTACGTATTTACTTTCGAATTTAGTGACCACACCCGTACTGACTTTCGGGCGGGTACTGACTTTCGGGCACGAACTAACTTTCGGACCTGACTTGTGTGTAGTGGAGAAGTTATTTTCATGTCGATGTACATGCTACGTGCTGCATGTGCGTACCGTACCGGTACTTATTTCGAGCAGTATGTTTATCGGGCTTGGCTTGACTTCAACAGACAGAGCCAAAAGAATGAAGGGGGTATTTCTTTCGGGCAGGTACTTATTTACGGACTGTTACGGTAGTGTATACCATGCATTGTGGGACCCATGCAGTTCTACAGTTTTGTTTGCTTTCTGCCGTGTTCTGTTGGCTGAGCTCCTTGCTCTGTGTTTGGTTCGGCGGAGCCACCCCTTGATTTAGGGACTAATGTCTTTGGGCTGTGTATTCAATGCTAATACATTGCCGCGTTAACCCTTTATGGACGGATTACTAGCACAGTATGCACCAGAATTACAAAATGTCAGTACAATTTTCAAATTTACCATGTCATAACTTTGGTGTCCTTCACTTGATTTTCACAATCAAGGGCTCATTGGAAAGCTCTTGACGAGAGCAACGCCAGGGTACCAATCTCCATTATCCAGCCGCCACAAATCAGGCGCGGTAACACAGCAAGGTCGTCTCCAAGCCTGATATGCAAGCAAATTCGTCCCATCAACGCCATTCCACTCTCCTTCATCGCAGAACGCTTAAATCTGTTTGAGACGATTCAAAATTCAGCCGGCTACGTCATTATCATGTGCTCAGTCGTTCAAAGAGCACACGAAAAGGGATTTTCCCCCAAAATGGCGAAATGATCGATCAAAAATTTGAATTTGCCGAGGTAAGAATACGGCGTGTGATATCTCTGGCGTCCGACATCGTAACTCTTCGGCGATTGTTTCATTGGACAGCCTGGAGTTTCCGCTACCACGTAGACCCTTCGATTGTGGAATTTGCTCAAGAAACGATGGAGTTACGAAGATTTTACCGCCTGCAGACTTTCGATCTTATTAGATCGAAACTCGTACAGTCCGTCCACAAAGGGTTAAGATTCCAGAAGTGTTCGGATGGGGAATTAAAAAGTTCGACCAGGTTGAAAAAATTACTGAAGTAGGACCATGGCAAACGGAGAAGCTGAGTCCCAAAAACCCAGATTTATAAATATTTAAAAAATGGGTTTTGAGCCTTGATTCGGCCAGAATCAGACTTTCAAACTCAGCGGGACTACTGTAAAAGCAGAAATTTTCGGTGGTGTTTTATTTTCGGTAACTTCGGTGCCGACAATTTTACCGAAAATAAAACGCACCGAATATTTCGGTACTGGTACCAGTACACTTTGATACCCGGAAAGCGGGTTTACCGAAAATTCCCCTCCACCGAACCGCCGGTTTTGGAGAATACCGAAAAAAATTACACCACCGAAAATTTCTGCTATTACAGTATTCAAGATGAACTGTAACAGCAGTCCTGGCCAGAGTACCACTCCAACCTCATGAATACAATAGTGCCTTGGGCTATCGCCACACACACGCACACACACGCACATACACGCACACACATGCACACACACACACGCACACACACACACGCACACACACACACACCTTGACCTTGATCTTGCCCATTGCGTACGCAATGATAGCGAAAGTCGGAAAGTTCAAGTGAGAACACGAGCGCAAAACTTGGCATGTCGTTTCAGGTCTCCTGGTCGACGAAACGGGCGTCCACAGACACATAGAAGAGGATCAGGAGCGGGCCGTGGCGGTGGAGTGCTACTCGCAACTCGTCTCCAGCCGGGACGATCTCGGCAACTCTCAAGCCAGGTGGTCACGCCGAGGTCCGCCAGGTCAGTCGACACCACATCTCGCCACCTCTTCTTCGGGCCGTGACGAGGACGGGGGGCAGGCAGCTCGCCGAACAGCAATTGCTTCGGTGCGCGCGAGTCGTCCATCCTACCGACGTGACCCAGCCAACGAAGCCGGTGGCGACGCACGCACACACACACGCACACACACACACACACACACACACACACACACACACACACACACACACACACTACTTTGCGCACTTGAGCACAGCACTCCGTTATTCACGAGGACCGATTTCTCTGGCCAGACCTGTATGTTCCGGGCACTTTGTGCCGAGGTTTTCACTCCGCTGCGTTTTCTCGCACGTGTTTTCTCGCTTGAACCTAGCTGGACTCACCGGGAACAACGAGCATGATGGGCTTGTCGCGGCTGGCAATACAGTCTCGGTGAACCGCTCTGCGCTTGCCAGGGGGCACCGCGCTCACCACGTGAAACGTGTCCCGGCAATTCTGCTCGCAAGGAAGAGAAAACCGCAAAGTGTACAAAGATGTCGAACACAGGTCACTAACACTTGTCCCGGCAATTCTGCCCGTGAGCAGGAAAAGAAAACGGCAACGTGCACAAAGACATAGAACAAAAACACTGGGAAAAAGGACACACTTCAGACTCTTCAACATCCTCTTGAAAGTGTTTTACTAGTCATGGTTCTAGCCAGGTCAAAATTGTAGGAGGGGGCATGGGAAACAGTTACCCCGTATCCCATTTTTTCCACTGCCCGATATTGTCTTGCCATGCTAAATGCAACGCATGGGGCGAATCCCCGACTTCGCCCCAGACAAACGTGCCTTTGTGAACCATCTAACAAGTAATAGTGACTTTCGACTGCATTTTCGTTGAATTGCATGAAAAACACGAACATCGGAAAATGAGTAAAGGCTGAGGAATTGATCGTCAATTTATAGCCGGGTCTACGGCGCACAGGTTTTGGAAGTGGTGCTTCTGATCAGTGAACCTGTCGCAGGCGCACACGCACCCTCTCACACATACCCCACCCACACACACAAACACATGTGCGCATGCACATACGTGTGCACACATGCAGACACACACACACACACACACACACACACGTAAGCGCGCACACACACACACACACACGCATACACACGTGCACACACACATGGACACACATACACACGCACACTGGGCCGATCGGCCGACTTACACTCAGATACTCTGGCAGGGGTCCAGTGATCGTGGCCAAATCCACCCGATCCACATCAGCAGCGTTTGAAGGTACATCGGTCCGACCAATTGCTTTTTCACTGGGCAACAAAAGGTACACAAAAGAGACATTGTGTGGTGCCGAAGTTTGTGTGGTGTTTGTGTGGTGTTTGTGTGGTGCCGAAGTTTTTTTTCATTGCAAAAAAGAGACAGTTGGAAAAAGGTGAGTAAAGAGTGAAGAGCAGAGCTGGAAACAGAGTGACCGAGGGAGAGAATAAACTGCATCCCTCTGCATGTAGTACAGTTGTGCTGTGTGAAATCAGACCCCGAGTGCACATTTGGCACCTTCAACTAGCACGGCCCTTGTCGCCCTGGAAGTGGCACGAATGCCGCTGGACGTACACATGTACAAATACAATGATGTAATCGGAACTGGTCCAGGGCGCCAGCTTTGCAATTCAGGTCGGTCGCAAACATTAGGCAGTTTACAGTTACGGCAGAAAAGGACTTGGTTGCCATTGCTGTGTGAGTGTTGTAAAACACAAAAAAGCGTACCTGCAACTCTTCGACACAAGTACAGCATTCACACCATGTTGACGAGCTATCAACAACAGTTCCCCGAGCGCTGCGGTGTCCTGTGAGAGAGGAGCATACACGTACACACACACGCATGGACACACACACAAGCATGGACACACACACACATGCATGGACACACACACATGCATGGACACATGCATGGACACACACACACACACACACACACACACACACACACACACACACACACACACACACACACACACAACACAACACACACACACGCACACATCATGCACAAACAATAGCGAGAGTTTCCAGATTGCCTAGAGTGCTCAACACCACAAGGATGGAGCATTACCACAAAGGGCAGAAGAGAACAGAGACAGCCGGCTAGGTCATTGTTGTAACGCTGCGTTTCATGCACATAGCAAAGCTAGGGCAATCCACAGACAACTGAAAACATGTACATCATCTGGGTCCAACTTTATATCCCGGCAGGTAGCAAAAGCAAAGCAAAGCGCAAAGGTAGCAAAGCGTGCAAAGGTAGCAGAGCGCGACACTAGTGTGACACTTCAAGTTAGTGAGACATGGTGCGGATGGTGTCAGTTTTGTTACATGGGAGGTGAAAAGAGGGAGAGAAGGAGAGAAGGAGAGGTGTGACAGTCAAGTAGTTACAGTGACGGTAGGCAGGCAGGCTCTGGGCCTGCAATATTAGCAGTCTTACAGTAGTTACAGGAACAACTAGGCATGCAACAAGGCATGTGACCAAGGGGTAAGGCCATCACCAACTAGGCGCTATAGACATGTAACAAGTATGTGACCAAGTCATGTGACTATGGGGCAAGGGCATCACCAACAAATGTAGCAAGTCATGTGACCAAGGGCCGGGCCGGCCAAGGGCATCAACAACTAGGCATCAGTGGCGGGTTTAGGGGGGGGGGGGGGGGGGGGGGGCGCGCAGGGGCGCGCCCCCCACCCCCTCTCAAAAGTTTCGACCTTGGTTTCGAAAATAAAAGGCAGGGCTAGCTAGGCTCGGGGCGCGCGGCTCGAAACGATCGTCCAAAAGCGGTTGCACGGTAGATCTACGGTGCCCGAGCTGGTGTTGATTGTACACCCTACAGGCTACAGCGTACAGTGAGCATGCACAGCTACAGAAACACAGAGGGTGACCTGACTGTGTACACTGTACTGTTGTACAGTGTGATCCCTGCGGGGATCCCGGGACGCGCTCGACGCGTCTTCAACGTACAAACATCGAAGAAAAGTCTTCGAGTCAACCAAAACACGATTCGAATGCCGAGGGCTCAGGCGATCATCCTTGTTCGAATCGTGTTTTGGTTGACTCGAAGACTTTTCTTCGATGTCTCAGCGACATCCCAAAAGGCCAAGCTCTAGCCAGCAGAGCCTGGATGGTTTTTTTGCAAAGCGTTCCTGTGGCGGCGCAACTCTTGCTGCCGCTCCAACAGGAAACAGTGGGAGTGATGAAGTTCAAGCCGCTGTTATTCCAGTTGAACTTTCGGAGCGGACTGACAGTCACACTCCGCCGGACGTGGAAGCACCTGTTATCAGCGAGCAGCCAGAACATGATGAAGAACAGCGCACAGTGACAAGTGGACATAGTACCGCTGCCTATGTAAAGAATGCTTTGAGCGGTGAGAAATCGTTGGACTCGCAAAAATTGCTTCGCTCACATTATAACGTCAAATTAGAAGTAACAGTTTGCAATCAGGGGCGTCGGACACGCTACGGTCACTACGGACGGTATTGACCGTACCACTATTTGTCCCGGGCATGGTAGCTCTACCCTGGGAATTAATAAAAGGCACTGATTTGTGCTCTAAATTTTGAAAATTTTCAGAGGAGCCACCAACTCCACGAGTAAATTGTACTTCAGGTGGTTGACCGTACCACACTAAAATACCTTCCGACGCCCCTGACGATGATTATGTACAATGTTGCTGCGTGTACAGAAATACTGCTCGTGGTGTGTGAGATTTACGGCTCCTTGACATCGGTTTTAAAAATGGCTGACCTGGGGCAGTAGCATGATGTCATCTACCCCCCCCCCCCCCCCATATCCCGGCCGCAACCCCCCCCCCCCCCCCTCAGCAAAATCCTGGACACGCCACTGGGCATGTAACAAGTCATGTCACCAAGGGCCAAGGGCATCAACAAGGCATGTAACAAGTCATGTGACCAAGGGGCAAGGGCATCAACAACTAGGCATGTAGCAGGTCATGTGACCAAGGGGCAAGGGCGTTTCCTGCATCGGCTGCACTGCTACTACCGTAAAGTACCGCCAGAGCGCCCAACCATCTCGTCCTTTTGTGGTCGTATTGTGGAGGTGGTCTGTTGTCTGTAGGTCATACGACACGAACCTGGTACACATTTTCCACATATTGCAGTCAATCCGTACCTTCAAGCGGACACAAGTTCCACACAAAAACCTGCCAAGTGTGCCCTTATAAACTAAGGTTCTCACACCGTACAAACCTCGTTGCACTCTGCCATACGATGTTCTTCCCTTGGCTGTAAAATCAAGGTGGGGCGCTCTCGCGAGACGGAGCGCTCTGGCGGTACTTTACGGTACTTACTGTAACGTTGTGGCAGGGGAGAAGAAAGGAGAAACTAGTTGCGGGATCCGGCTTGACAGATGACGAGATTTCCGCTGCTGGCGCCACTGATGGTGTTGCTACTGCTGCTGGCATTGCTGCTGCTGCTGCTGCTGCTGCTGCTGCTGCCGGCGATGCTACTCCTAGTGGTGGTGGTGGTGGTGGTGTGTTGCTGAAGCAAACAAGTGGAAGACAAACAACCATTAAAGATGAAAAGTAAATAAAAAATGAAAATTGTCGAGTCCGTTCCCGAGGGAACCCAGGACGGTCGTCGCTAACACCCGGTAATCCAGCAACAGATGCAGACAGACAGACAGACAGACAGACACACATACACACACACACACACACACACACACACACACACACACACCATTGGACCATTGGACGCCCATCGCCGGAGGCGATGATAGCGATGCTACAGCAGAAGCCATAGCAACTTGTGCTGGGATTGCACCATTCAACAGCTTGCAAGGCTGAAGAATTGACCGCCACTATTCAGCCTGGTCTACACCACACAGCTATGAAGTGGCTTTTTCTGGCCAGTGAATCCCTACTTTTTGGTCTTTTTTATTTTTTTCCCGCACACACATCACACCACATACTCCGGCATGCACTGGCTGTTGGTAACCACCCAGGAGAATGAAAGAAAAGTCAGGAAGAGTCTGAGAAAGAGAAGAAAGACGTGTGTGACCAGAATCGTCGGGAATCGAACCCGCAACCTATCGATTGGAAATCACTGCACATACCACTGCACCATATGGGACACACACACACACACACACACACACACAGAAATACTGGAATACCTGACTTACTCGGCTATTCGACTTAAACCAGCCAAGGTTGTAGCATAGGCTGGATCAACTTCCATCAGGACCGTCTGCACAGACACCATCAGATGTAAACATTGACAAACAGAGAACAGGCGAGACCATCAGCAGAGCAGTGGAGGCAACAACAACAATACCACCAACAACGGTAACAAGAAAGTAAGCAGCAGCACTCGGCCCTTGACAATTCAGCGTCCACTTCAGCGCAAAGGCGGCGGTGGTGAAGTGGACCAGCAATGCTAGCCTTGACTAATCACACAGCATAGGGCTGCGCTCCCGAAAGCAAAAAGACAACAATACCACCAGCAATGCTAGCCTTGACTAATCACACAGCATAGAGCTGCACTCCCGAAAAAAGGAAAGAAAAAAAGAAATACGAAGCACAAAGACAATGCGCTCGACACGAGAAAAAAACCCAAAACATGGAGACTTAGGGCGCGTTTGGTTGGTACGACCTAGAACATAATTCACCAGAACAGCGCGTTTGGTTGGGACTGCACCTGTTCTGGGTCGGCCAGAACATGTTCTGCTTGCTCCGGCCTCGAGGCCTCGAGGCCGGAGCAGACCGAGCAGTTTCACTTTTTCACAGTGAAACCTGGCGGGAACATCGATGTTGGTCCCAAATGATCACGTGCATACGCTTTTGGGTTCGGACTTGCCGTACCGTACAAAGTCACGTTAAGTGACCATGGTGACCCATACACATTTTGACGAATGCACCACGTTTGGCACATTTTTCACAAAAAAATGTGCTCAGTTTCTGGAGTACCGTTTGGTTGGCATGAGGCTGCTCCATGTGCACCAGCTGTTCAATCTTGTTCTAGATCGTACCAACCAAACGCACCCTGACACCAATACCACCAGCAGTTGTAGCGCATGACATTTGAAGATGACTACGGAAACACAACTAGACATGACGAACTCAAGACGAAGACTGCTTTTTACACCACAGCAACACGCGCATGCACCAACATAACGTACACACGACGTACACAAAATAACGTACTATATACGGTATAATAAGTATATCGATGTACGGTACATACGGTATGATACAGTAGAAAGTCAGTCTACTACACAACCACTCGGGTAAGGAGACCACCTGTCCTAGAAGACCACCTGTCCTAGAAGACCACCTGTCCTAGAAGACCACCTGTCCTAGAAGACCACCTGTCCTAGAAGACCACTGAAATCAGGAACAAGGGATGCTATTTCCCGTCAAATGACCCTGGATAAGGAGACCACCTGGTAACGGAGACCACCTGGTAACGGAGACCACATTTTGAAGGTCCCTTGAGCGGTCGTCTTAGACAGGTTTCACTGTACATACCTGGTGGTGATCCGGCGTGGCAGGTAGATTTGTTTCCTGCAAAAGCCTCTCCATGTCGCCTTGCGGTATAGGGTAGAGTTGATCGGGACATTCTTCCAACAGAGTACGCAGTAATGGTCGAAGGTCACCGGGGATTGTCACGTCGGGCCTGAGAAACACCAGCAGAAAATAATCACACGTGTTCACGCATTACCCACCAGCACACACCTGGTTTATACAATGTTTTCCGGCGTATTCCCAAGGTGTCATGTCTCTCAAAAATTTGAAATACTTCTGTCAATTATGAAACAATTGGCCGCTCCATTTGCCCAAATGCATGGAAAAGAAATCTTTTTTTTCTGTTCTTAAATGTTCAACGGCCAGCAGCACTGAGCAGCTCAGGGTTTGCTTACTTGGCTAGAGTATCCGACACAAACACCTTGCATGACTGGTCTTGCAGCTGACGGTTATGCTGAGAGAGCACTGCCATACATGGCATGCTACCCAGGACTACGTCACCGCTGACATGAAGGTCGGAGAAATCAAAACATAGCTCCCTGGACAGAAGCACACACACACACACACGCACACACACACACGCACACACACACACACACACACACACACACACACACACACGCAAACACACACGCACACACACATACGCACATTAGAATTCGCAGAAAGCATTACAAAATGCAACGCCAGCAAACAGTGCATAACATTCTACCTGTGGTAAATAACAAATCCAACATGCTGGGTATGAACCAGGGAGTTATAGTGTCTAGGGAGATGACACAGAAAACTGGAATGTGACACGACGTGGGATTCCCGCTCCCGGGCTGCCCATTCCAGCTGATCTTGGGGCAAGACCGATTTATCCAGCGCTTGCATATGCCATTCCAAGTCTGGGCCACGTTTGGAATAAGCTGCAGGTCAAGGCCATGATCGCGAGCTGTAGAGGCGATGGATGACGTTGAACGCCCAAACCCAGGTTTGAAACACACAACTACTATGGTCGTGTGGCATATCCCTTAGGCCTAGTTGCCCGACTTTCCGATGCAACCATAAAGAACTAATGGAGTCACTGGAAAATCCCACAACATGGCCCTTTGGCACCTTTAAAAAAACTCTTCAAAATCGGCATGGAAGTGATACCAGCAAAGGAACAAATAACATCATTTTATAAAGCTTTCTAGGTGGTCAGAGCAGAGCCAAAGTAACACCAAAGAGAGCACGACTGGTACCAGCTACAGCGCTATCTACCTGTTAATGATAGCATGTTACTAAGCCGACGCCTGAACAGTGTGTGTGTGTGTGTGTGTGTGTGTTTGTTGGTGTGTGTGTGTGTGTGTTTGTTGGTGTGTGTGTGTGTGGTGTGTGTGTGTGTGTGTGTACGTGTGTGTGTACGTGTGTGTTTGTCGTTTTATGCCGATGTACTCCGTGTGGTGTAGACCAGGTGTGCATTGGTGGTCGATTCACATGGCTTCGCCAGTTGTGTGGATTAGACAGTTATCTGGCGCAAGTCTTGATCTGTCTCATTCAGATCTTGTTCGCTATCGTTGCTATAAAAGAAAATCTGTGGGTGCATATCCAGTGCATTTGCAGATTTCCGTGCTTCTCTTGCGACGGGCGTATACATGGTAGATGGTACGTGTGTGTGTGTGTGTGTGTGTATGTGTGTGTGTGTGTGTGTGTGTGTGTGTGTGTGTGTGTGTGTGTGTGTGTGTGTGTGGTACATGGCGTGTGTGTGCCTGTGTGTGTTTGTGTGTGTGTGTGTGTGTGTGTGTGTGTGTGTGTGTGTGTGTGTGTGTGTGTGTGTGTGTGTGTGTCACGGTGTGTTTGTTGGTGTGTGTGCGTGTGTGTGCGTGTGGAAATTGCAATGACTATGTGCTGTGCAATAGAATCACGCTTTTAGAAGTACACGGTAGAGCGCTTACTGTTGTGCACGAACTGCAGCATAATCCACGTATCGACGTAGCGTTAGAGAGTCTTCCTCCTCGCATGCTTGTACGCCCGGCGATGTCGATGACGAGGCGCACAGCCTACGTCCAATAGCCACGACCGAGGAAGAGGCCGACGCCCCGCAACGCGGCTGCACGCGCACATACGTAACCAGCAATCTGCTCGTCATGTTATAGCACTGAACAGGAGAACTAAACAATTATGTCTCTGTGATCTGAGCTGCGTCGCGAGGCTTTGCTGTGAATCTGCCCGGACAGTATGAGCTGCCCAAACAGGCAGCGTTCATACAGAGCTGCCCTGGAATCACGAAAGGGTCAATGGGTAGATCCGACTACCTTCAGGACTTCCCAATTGGCAAAGTAAACAGAAGCATAATTATTTCGTCTGAAATCTTTCTTGCTGCTTCCAATTGTTGCACAAGCATCATGATCAATCATGATGAGCTCACATACACTACAGTGGTACGATCACGAAGGTCATCATTATTTTTGAAAAGGGCACGTGCCGGTGAAAATAATTTTGCGGGATATCCATAGATCATGAAATAATTTTCTGAAAAGTTCTTGACGCCATTTTGGTTTCCATGCTTACATATACATGCGACAAGATCCCAAGAAAGTATTTTTTGCGGCAACAAACAATAACTCCAATATGAATAATGCAGCACTTAAAGGGGAAGTTAAGGCAAAAATTAAAATTTCACCAGTTGTAGTCTTCGGGGTGCTGAGTCGAATGGTCTTGGTCCGAGAAAGCTGAGACGCTCCCTTCCTACTTGAATCCCAATCGAACTCGCGCACTTCCACCGAAACTGGGTGACTGCGCCCTACGAGATGGGGATTTGTATGCAAAATGTCACTAAAAGCGCCATTTCGTTCTTATAAAAGCACGGATGACCGCGATTGGCCCATATGTTGTAGTCTTTTGGACGCTGAGTCGACTGGTTTTGGTCCGAAAAGGCTGCGATGCAGCGTTCCTTCTTTATTCCCAATCGAACATGGTTGAACAAGCGGTCACGTGCTCCTGGGTGCCAAAATCACCTGGTCACCACGCCAGCAGGCGACAACTTTCACACCAAGGTTCAACTCGAGTGACAGGACTGCACCCAAAAAAGGTCAAAACAGGCTGTAAGTTGTACCCTGCAGGCACGGTGACCAGGTGACTGGTGTACGCAGGAGCACGTGACCGCTTGTTCAACCATGTTCGATTGGGAATTAGGGGCGAACGCTGCATCGCAGCCTTTTCGGACCAAAACCAGTCGACTCAGCGTCCAAAAGACTACAACATATGGGCCAATCGCGGTCATCCGTGCTTTTATAAGAACGAAATGGCGCTTTTAGTGACATTTTGCATACAAATCCCCATCTAGTAGGGCGCAGTCACCCAGTTTCGGTGGAAGTGCGCGAGTTCGATTGGGATTCAAGTAGGAAGGGAGCGTCTCAGCTTTCTCGGACCAAGACCATTCGACTCAGCACCCCGAAGACTACAACTGGTGAAATTTTAATTTTTGCCTTAACTTCCCCTTTAAAGTCTTTGTACATGTCTGACACAATCATTGTGATACCAAGACTGCAAGAGTACATAACAGGGCTAGGGTGTCGTCAAATATTTGACGACTCCCTGGCCTGGTACATAACCCATGTATAGATGCTGTACTCTCGTCACACCAAGAGTATAACCCCCCGGGGGTGGGGTACTCTTGGTCACAGTCAACTGGGAACTTGTGGCCAGGCACAAGGGGTATATCATGGTATATCATGGATGCAGCTAATGGGGTCGTTCTCGGCACTTGTGCCAGTGGTTGTGAGACTTATCCACTCACCCCCCCCCCCCCCCCCCTTATGATCTGTCGGGTGTTAGCGGCCGTCGTGAGCTCCCTTTGGGAACGGACACGATAATTTACTTTTTACAGTGCGTGGTTTGTACGGTCGACTACTTATAGTTATACTACACTTGTAGTAGCCATGATGCATTCATGTGTCGTGCAAGACAACTGTTGTATTGAACCTGAACAACCACTACACGGCCACAAGCAAGACACGACGGCGGTACGGAACGAATCTTGAAACTTGGGAAAGGGAATGGAGGGGGGTTTCGGAAGGGACACTCTTGCAGCAAGCCGAAACGCCAATACCGTTGTGGCCTGCCGCCATGAAATCACTTGATGCAGCCAGGGGGGGGGGGGAGGGGGGGGGGGCAATGTCTGAACTAACGTGGGGAGGGCAAACACTGTCATCCCCTCCCGTAGACAGGGAGCGGGCGCTGCAATCCCTCCTTGTAGCGATTCGAGTACACAATAATTACACACATTATTTATACCCTGCTCAGACAGTACACACGTACGCCCCCCCCCCCCCCCCACACACACGGGTGCGCGCGCACACACACATGCACCCACACGCACAAGCACACAACTGCACTCGCAAGCGGAGCATAGTCAGTCACTTGAGCAGAACAGTACCGGTATGTAGTGGGTAAACACTGCGACCACCAGCGGCCACAGCCGCCGCCGCAGCACCACAGCCGCCGCAGCACCACAGCCGCCGCAGCAGCAGCACCAACAACACAATAACCAGCAACAGATGCTTACGGTGGCTTCGTTTCCAATCATAAGCTGCACGCATGCCCCGCAATGAATCCACGAAAATCCACAAGAAATCTGATGCATCTATAAAACTCAAAGAGATGAAGCTAAAGCGTTGAAAATAGAAAAATAGAAATGAAATGAACTGGATGAGTAGGGTAGCTTAGCAAGTGTGGGCAATTAATTAACCCCAGCATCAAAATTCCTAGAAACTGAACATGTGAACTAGTCCTCGTAATTATAATAAACATGCATTGGGAGAAAAAAAAGATCACACTGGGCTCATAGCGACCAGGTCTAACGTTTTAGCTCATGAGCAATCTAAAATATAGCTACGTGTGTGGCTCTGTCGCACCCTGTGATACATGCATCTCCGAGCGAATATTAGTGATTCGTGCCAATTTCAGCTAAGTTGGCAATTGTTGAGTAGGTTTTGCTGTGATTTGGCTAGGTTTTGTGGCCAGTACCGGATAGATGAGATGAGATATGTTATAGCAAGGCAGCCAGATTGACTAGGGGCCTTGCACCAGATGAACACACGCAATCGCGCGTGTTTATGGGCTGCGTGTTGGGCGAGTACAAATGACTTTCCCCGGATGGCAAGCGCATTGCACCAATACCAGTCACTATGTATGCACAAATGCGTGCGTGCACACACACATAGACACACACACACGTGCACACACACATGCACACACACTCACACACACACATGCACACACACACACACACACACACACACACACGGCCCGGGGCTTACCAGCTGCTACGGCAGATGATGCCCCGAGAAAGCTGTCATCTCGACAGCCTACCCTTGGTCACCATCACTGATGAACAGTCTCCACAGGACTGTACTGGTTGCACGCGTGAGGCCCTTGCAGATTGCCCGAGTGTTGCCAGCAACGTGATGTGAACATGTCACTTTGTTCCACAGAGGAGAACTCTGAAGCACACATCCAGTAGGTACTCCTGGTTTGAACAGCGCCCGCACTGGGCCCAGCACAGGTTGGAAGCAGGCAGCTTGATGCCACGCGACTGTCACCTATACCACACTGCTCCAGTTAGAGAAAGAGAAAGAGAGAGAGAGAGAGAGAGAGAGAAAAAAAAAGAGAGAGAGAGAGAGAGAGAGAGAGAGAGAGAGAGAGAGAGAGAGAGAGAGAGAGAAAGAGAGAGAGAGAGAGAGAGAGAGAGAGAGAGAGAGAGAGAGAGAGAGAGAGAGAGAGAGAGAGAGAGAGAGAGAGAGAGAGAGAGAGAGAGAGAGAGAGAGAGAGAGAGAGAGAGAGAGAGAGAGAGAGAGAGAGAGAGAGAGAGAGAGAGAGAGAGAGAGAGAGAGACAGACAGACAGAGAGAGAGAGACAGGGGCAGAGACAGATGTGTAGGAAACCAGCAATGATGGTACGCACTGTCCATCATACGAAGATCGGCACGGCCGAAGGCTAAGTTACTTGTGTAACTGCTTGTGTTCCGACACTTGGGAACAGAAGAGAGAGAGAGAGAGAGAGAGAGAGAGAGAGAGAGAGAGAGAGAGAGAGAGCGCACCGGCGGTGCAACCACTCACAGAATAGTGCAGTGCAGCATGGCCGGCAACGGCTATTCAGGGCGCTTGGCTTCATGCTGAAGCATTGGCGATGGCAGCCATTCGTGCGTTTTACTTCTTGTTCAAGCACAGCGGCTGGACAGCGCTAGGCGTTTGTCTGCACGTTCTGACATTGGCAATGGGAGCTAGCAGAGCACTCGTTTCACCCTTCACACCCCTGTTTGTGATGATATGTCATATTTCTCAAATGGGATGCTGGTGATGCGACTGAATGGCGTGCCTACGTCCGTGTCTTTCTCCTTGTTCATCAGGATATTCGCAAATCTGTAGAGAAAGAGCAGCAACAGCAGCAGAAAAGCCAAAATTGGCACGGGTGAAGCATGACAACTCCAATGATTCAGTCAGATAATTATAGTGATCACACCTTCCTTTTTTTTTTAAAGTAATTTAAAATATTTTCGGTATTCTCCAAAATCCGCGGTTCGGGGGAGGGAAATTTTCGGTAAAACCCGTTTTCCAGGCAAGTGTACTAGTACCGAAATTTTCGGTGCGTTATATTTTTAGGTAAAGGTAAAAATTGTCGGCACCGAAGTTACCGAAAATAAAACACCACCGAAAAATTTCAACTTTTACAATAACTGAGGCATGAGTATATTGCCTGACACATGTACCTACCGCCGCGCCCGGGACATGTTCCACTGGCTCTCGTCGACGCCGCACGACGTCAGGATGTCCTCGGCGGGCTTGAGAATGACCGGCCGCAGCACTATGCAGCTGGCAATGACTGCTTCCAGGGTGAGACGATAGCACATGTCCAGCTTGTCCTGGGCGTCGGCAGCGTCGGATTTCTGCAGCTGCCACGGCTCAAAGTTGTGGAAGACAGCATTCGCCTGTAGGAGAAGAAGAACGACATGCACAAGAACAACCGAGAGATGACGATGACGACACAGTGGCCACAACAGCACGAGCATTGAAAGAAGCACCAGCGTATGGTGTGGCGTGGTGGGTGAGTCATTTTGCATTTAAAATAGCTAGGAAAGCAGCGGTGTTTCGAATATAAGGCCATGGCTTTAAAGGCGCTGACATACGGTAGGTCTTCTGCATATCAGAAGGTAGCTGTGCTTGTTTGTTTGTACGACTCTGAATAGAATTCAACAACGACAACAACAAGAACGTCCCGCTGCCCTGTTTCAGGACTTAATGGGACACATGACTAACTGTTCGGTGAAAAACTCACCGAGCGCAAGGTGAGCATAGCGCGGACGACAGGCGTATGCACGCGGCACGTGTTCAGTCCTTCCTCGACGGCACCTAGCAGAGACACAGCACAGTGGCACAGAAACTATTGTGAAACCTGTCAAGGAGACCACTCTGATAAGGTGACCACCTGTCCTAGAGGACCATTACAATCTCTATAAGGCGACCACCTATCCAAGAAGAACACTGCAACCAGGACCAAGGGGGGGGGGTGCTATTTCCAGCAAAGTGACCCTGGATAAGGAGTAGCCACGGCAACAGAACAGAGTGCTCAATGCGGGTGCTGACCAGAGTGCTCAATGCGGATGCTGACTAGAGTGCTCAATACGGATGCTGACCAGAGTGCTCAATACGGATGCTGACCAGAGTGCTCAATGCGGATGCTGACTAGAGTGCTCAATACGGATGCTGACCAGAGTGCTCAATGTGGGTGCTGACTGGTCACCACTCGCAGAGCCTTACTATGGGATACAAAGTACAGTGCTGGCAACTGAAATCCAACCCCTGAGCTCACGTCGCAAACACCCAACACGGGATAGTAAAACTAGGAAATAGAGACGGCTAGAATGTGAACGCATCGCTAAGGGGTCGGATTTCAGTTGCCAGCGCTGTACCTTATTTTACACATGCATTTTCCTGATTTCTTCTCCAGCGTACGTTGTATAGCATTTTAAATTTTTGCCCATAGGTCCAAATAGAGAATCCATAAATACAAATACAAGTCCATTTGTACAAATTTGAACTCGGATAGTGAGCCACTGTAAATTTATTATGGACAAAACACAAAAGAATTTAGGGTTTTACGTCGGGCCCTTGACGACGGCTACTTTGGCCAACCGGACAACGAAGAAGTTGTGACCAAAGAGAATGATTTTATTTCTGGCGCATGCGTATGTAGAATGACGTAATACTCAGTGAGTCAGGTCGCTACAGTACTCCCCCGCCAGTGGTGAGGTCGGGAGGAGCGAAGCACGATAAACAAGAAACAAGAAAGAGAAGAGAAAGGAAAGCGCAGCATGTACAAGGCGGAAAGGCAAAAATATAATAATATTATGATACATATGTACAGGCGAGAGCGCTGCGTGTATGAAATTTGTTTGTGACGTGGCAACAAAGGCCGAAACAAAATCAAAAATGCAGAAAGCGGAAATGAGAGAGATGCATGACAGAGGCGGGTTAACATGTCAGAGGTGTGTTAACGTGACAGAGGTGGAGAGCATGTCAGAGGCAGAAAGAAAGAAAAGAGGAAATGTACGCGTGACAGAGGAGTGTTATCGTGTCAGAGGCGGAAAGAAAGGAAATGTACGCGTGACAGAGGAGTATTATCATGTCAGAGGCGGCTGCATGTTGCAGGCTTGGCGGGATACCAGCAGGAGCGCTGCACTGGGGCGAGGCGTGCCGACTGAGGCGGGGACAGATGGAGGCGAGCGCAGCTCCATGGGGTCCGGTGCCGGGCGTGTGCCTGCGTGCGTGCACAGTGAGTGAGCTGGTACGACGGGTGGAGGTGGCCAATTTCCAGCTTGAGGCCAGGACAAAGACGACTGGACGATGTGCCGTGGCAGGATAGCGGGGTATCCAGGTGGGCCGGGAGGGTGGCAGGGGCCACAGCAGCTCCGAGGCGGATCCAGTGACGAGTGGTGGTGAGGCTCAA